CACCCAACCGGACCTTCCATTTCTAAGATGAGATATAGCACACGTGATGACTCACTGAATTCTAGAGATGCAAGCTCCCGGGGTGAGCTGTCTAGTGATTTGTTCAAACGGAGACAAGAGCAATCAGATGTCAAGGCAAACAAGCCTTCTCCCGGAAATCCTCAGCTCAAGTCTCGGCTTGAAGTAGCGAGAAGAGAATACAGCTCAAGAAACGACTTTGCAAAGCGGGATGTCCAACATGCAAGAAGCAACTATAGCCAAGGAAGCTCAACATATACACTGAGATCCTCCACGCCAGTCGTTACAGGACACGGTCAAACAACACCTTCGTCTTCTTCTTCAAGACAGTCAGGAGTTCCGAAGACCGCGGGTGGCAGAACGCCTCTACCCCCCCAAGAGCCCCCCCGCAATACTTTTACGGATCCAACATCCACCAAAAAGGATTCTACAAATGAGCTGGGTAAAAGAGTATCCTTACCACCTCAGACAGTTCCAAAAGAACGGTCATGGGCGTCACATAATCATACGAAGGGGTTTTCCTCGATTCCACCCCAAAAAAACCCAAAATGGACGGCAAAGACTGAAGTTTTATCAAGGCCTGAAGGTTCATCTAGGCCTGAAGGTTCATCTAAGTCCGCGGTTTCATCAAGGCCTGAAGGTTCATCTAAGCCTGCAGTTTCATCAAGGCCTGAAGGTTCATCTAGGCCTGAAGGTTTATCTAAGCCTGTAGTTTCATCAAGGCCTGAAAGTTCATCAAAGCCTGCAGTTTCATCGAGGCCTGAAGGTTTGTCTAAGCCTGCAGTTTCATCGAGGCCTGAAGGTTCATCTAAGCCTGCGGTTTCATCAAGGCCGGCAGTTTCAAATAAGCCCATTGGTCCATCGAAGCCGACGGGTCCGTCAAACCGAACTCGGGTACCATTACCTCCTCAGCAACCTCCCAGAGACAAGCAATCCTTTTCATTTCATCTGGGACCGAGGGCACATAGGGAAAATTCTGCAACTGAAGACACCAAAAGGAGGTTCGTTGGGCGTGACCGTAGGCCCAGCGGGGACCCACTTCCCCCGCCATCTTTGCCTCCACCAGTGCGTAAGGAATCAAACAATGAGAATGGCTCGTGGGACAGGAAAAGAAAATATGAGGATAGAGGTCGGGCCTTTGATAAGAGGCTGAGATATTAATGTGTCAGTTGCTTTCTTATATATATATATTGAACATCAGGAAGAATTCAATCTCTGTCCAAGAAAATTAAGCATCCTTACTGAGAAAAATATCCGAACAAGATTTAAGTTTGTTTTCCACAAGTCTCATGTGACCAGGAAATACTTCGTGTGTGTACTATGCGTCTGTTTCTACCTTTACCAAATTAATCTTCCTTCTTGAATTCTCGGTCGTTCCACTCGTGTCATTATCTACACCTTCCTTCCCATCAGAGTCGAAGGCATCCGAGAAGTGGTCATCATCCAGGCTTTCGTCTTCAATTCGATCTTCTTCTTCAGCTGCTTTCAGTTTTTTTGAAATTTCTTCTTCTTCGAGTCTTCTCAAAAACTCTTCAGCTTTTTGTACTTCGGCATTGTGGCGTTTTATGTGCTTTTGAAATGCGTGGAACCTCACGAAATTTCTCTGGCAATTTTTTCGTGGGCATGTATAAACTTTCTGGTTCAGGTTCATCATCAAACTAATAATGGACGATTTTTCCGGAGATGGTATAAATTCTTGAGTGACGGTATGCTTTGTTCTTTTTGAGGCTCTGGAAGCCGCATCATCAATTACATCGTCATCATCAGAATCATTTATGACTTGCATTCTTTTCATCAACTCAGACTTCACCTCCGCGTCTCTTAACATGGTCTGCATGGACTGGGCACTGCGGATCTTTTTCAGTGTAAGCAGGTCTGTTCCATCTTCAATTTTGATCGCATGCGAGAGCACAGCGCTGCTGTGAAAGTCTTCGTAATGTCTGATGAGATCTTCTCTGTTTGAAAACTGGGCAGGTGAGTCACAAGCTTCACACCGTAGCAAAGGAGAGTTATCCCTATTGGTCGTATGCGTGCGCATATGAGCCGCTAGAGCTTCACCCCCGATACATACTTTCTTGCATTCGCTGCACGTGAGTTTTGGATGACAATTTTCGATATGATTCTTTAAAGCATTGTCATCTTTGAATGATTGAAAACACCCGGGATGTTCACATGAGAACAGTGATGCCTCACCATGATGTTTTAGTTTATGTCTCTGAAGTGATGGCTTGTTGGGTAAGCATTTATTGCAGTGTTCACATGTTAGGGCTTTTTCGTGATCCATCTCCACGTGATGCCTAAGACTCTGCCACGCAAAGAAAGCCTTATCACAACCCTCAAATGTGCACTTGAAGCTTTTAACGTGAACAGCCTCATGCCGCTTGAGCTTTTGTAGCGATGTCATACCTTTTCCACAAACAAAGCAATGGTATGGTTTCTCTGAGTCCAGTAAATGAGACAAAAGATGGTTCTCTAGATGAGCCTTTCTGAAGAAAGATTTGTCACAATTTTCTTTGGGACAAAAGAACGGCCGATCATTCGAATGGGTGCGCTGATGTTGCCGTAGGAGCGCAGGACGATTATAAGCTTTATCGCAGCCATCCTCCGGGCAAACATATTTTTTGATTCGTTCTGAGGGCATGCTTTAGTTGTTATCAGGAGAGAATGACTCTCATCATGCGACTTGAATACGCGAAGCGCGTGCTATACAGAACACGCGTCATTCACGTCCTAGTTTCGCAATACAATCTATGGATTGCCAATTCTATGGTTCTCAATTCTATGGTATTCGAGAATAGTTTCGAAATCCTCGATCTCATTTTTTGGGTGGATTCATCTGATTAAAGGGGCAAAACTATATGCCATGCCTTCAAGTGTATCTTGAAAATCGTGGTGACGAACCAATTTAATTTTCTTGAGTTCTCCAAAAAATTGTCGGCCGGGCCATTTCGGTATTGAGAATCCAGTGTTTTTTGTGGAATAATCCTCCGAGGAACGTATGGTCTGTAATCAGAGTAATGAATGGATGATAGATCGTACCGCTGCAACCATTCTGCCTTATACAAGGATTTCCAAGGGTTCTTTCACCGTTTATTGTGGCTTTTTTTTTTTTTTTT